ATCGGCGTATACGACAGCGTGTTCCAGTTCCTCCCAATATCCAGCAACTTTGCACAGCCATTGAAGAGGCCACAATCAACAACCTGATCAACTCTATGCGAAGGAGATGTGTTGCACTGCGTGAGGCAAATGATGGTCACACCAGATACTGACTGGTTTTCGGACCCCCCCAGACCCCCCAATACAGTAAAACTGCACATTTTAGAGTGGCCTTTTATTGTGGCCAGCCTAAGGCACACCTGTGCAATAATCATGCTGTCTAATCAGCATCTTGATATGCCACACCTGTGAGGTGGATGGATTATCTCGGCAAAGGAGAAGTGCTCACTAACACAGATTTAGACAGATTTGTGAACAATATTTGAGAGAAATAGGCCTTTTGTGTACATAGAAAAAGTCTTAGATCTTTGAGTTCAGTTCATGAAAAATGGGGGCAAAAACAATAGTGTTGCGTTTATAATTTTGTTCAGTATATAAACAGTAGTCTGTGTTTATGAACAAATCGGTTCAGTGAATGATTCATAAAGATAGTAGGTACGTTCCAATCAAAGTACCATGTGAAGTAGTCTTTATAGGGTATTTTGCCATCTTAAGCTGAATTCCAATTAGAAGGGAATGTAAATGTTCAGTTCAAAGGGCAACGCAAATGGCATAAAATGGCTCTGTTATTATTATTGACTTAAATTTGTCAGGTATGTTTTTACAGGGTTGTTTGTTTACAAGATGTGACATTTACAATGTAGAAATCATGTTTAAGAATTACAAGGTGCATCTAATATAACCAAATTGCATCGGTTTTCATATTTCCCTTGTTTCATTCCTGAATGAATCTGTACTTACAGTAAATGATTCAATCACTTAAAGAGCTGCATCTTAAATCACATACTTCCCTACTATATAGCAAGCAAAAAAACATTATGTGGAATGAGTATGTGCAAATTTACAGTATTCATAAAACAGAAACTTCCTGGATAACCTACTGCTTCCGGCGAGATTCTGAAGTTCACATCCAGTGGACACTTTACTATCCCATGAGTCCATGGGAGAGAATTTGTGAATGACAGTGAAGCAATGCAACTGACGCTTGTAACTTTGCGAATGTAGTACATCCGGATTAAATTACACACAATCATACTATATATAATATACTTTTTTTTTAAAGTCACAAAGTAATTACTTATTCAATAGAAGTACCTACTCAGAGAGCATGTGATTTAAGACGCAGCCGGTGTCTCTTTCACTAAGCATGCATATGCACAAATTTGTGCATGAAATCTGCATATGAATCTTTTGATGATCAAATCATGAGTCACCAATAACTTTCAGACTAAAATTTATTCTAAATGAATGAGCAAATGTAGGAATAACTGGAACCAAAACTTTCACAAAAATCACATACTCTGGGTGGTCTTATAATCGTCTTAAGATGCAATAGATATTTAATCTTAAATAATTTCATCATATACAGTGAAAGCATAAGGAAAGCTGCATTATCAGATACATGTTTGTACAGCTGGCTAATGAGAGGTCTGTATAAAGTGTTTGAAATGGTTTTGAGGACAACATATTTGGCAGTTTGATGCGAGTGATGAAATTGATAAAAAATGTTTTGCCGAAAGCCCTGATATTGAGACGGTTTGGGCATGTTTTATATACATTATACTATAAATTATACTAATTATAGTGTAAATTATACTAACATCAGGCTCATCTGGAATGCTCCAAATTCATTATCATTAGAACAAGGCTAAGAACAAATTCATGTACTTGTGCATGTGTGGTTAATTATGCAGAAATTTAATTAGTATATGTGTGCAAGTTCTCCTGTGCATACAAATACTAAATAATCCACAAAATTATTAGTGAATGAGACCCAGTCACTTTCAGGCATAGCAATGTAGCCAGCATACTTTCAATAAAATTAATTAAATAAGAATCTCTGTCCATTCCAAACCTTAGTTCCTTGGCCAAAGTGACAAATCCCTGTGGCAAACGTCCTGCAAACATTAGCACAAATTAACCACAAGTTTGCAGCAAATAAATAGCAAGGCGTCAAGCCTACTACCACAAAACACTGAAAACTGACCCAACAAACCTGTCCCCAAGGTCCTGTCGGAGAGCAGTAATATATTTAACAGAGGTCCATCTTTATTTGCCCTGAGATGCACCGGTATTTATGGACGAAGGAGAACCATCGATCTCCTCCCATGGTGGATGTCTGCCATTCCTCTGGCTGTCTGCAGGCTGCTGAGACAGCATAGATCTCTAGCATGGGCAGAGATACAGGAGCCTAGGGAGATATATGACCACGCTATACATTACCTCATTAAAGAGCTGTTGAGTACCCTGGAAACACTGCCTGATTCAGCGTTTTGGGCGAATGATGCTTTGATTTCCTCCCTCTGGCCCAAACCTTGTTCAGTTCCTATCATGCCCTCGGGATACACGGGATAAACTGAGAATTTCTTTGTATATATAGTGATATGGTGTCTGCTGCATTCAACAGATGTATCGATCCTGTTTAATAAAGTTGGGGTTGAATACATAAGTGCGGTTCTTAGAGGTCATTCACACAGAAATGTGCCATTGTTTTTCTATGTAAACATGCACATGCTCACATCTTTCGACTTTTGCAATATGATGTGACGTCAAAAGTATACTTCTGTTCCTATGCGTACACTAAAGTATGAGTACAGTGCATGCAACGCAACTTTTATCATCAGCATAGTGCACGCATACTGTGTTAAAGACAAAATTTGTATCATGCTCACCATACGCATTCCTTGTTGTAAACATAAAAACAAAGTATACTTCATCATTATTTTACTGTGTAGTTCTAATTAGATTCAGAATATTGCTCTCTACCAGTTCATGGGATAAGTAAGGATTGTTCCAGGTTCCAGTTAAAATTACAATGAAATATTGGACATTACAATGGAAGTCTAAACAGTAAAGAAAAGACGGAGAGTTTCATAATGCTCAGTCTCTTTCTGGCATTGTTCTGCATATTTTGTAAAATTGATACAGTTTACATGACAGGAGTTGGACACTTTTGTAACTTTTAGAAAGGTTAGAAAGGCTTCTTGCTGGTTTTGTTACGCTTGTCTCGTGTTAAAATGCATAATTTCATTAATAAAGTATAAGTTCACCCCAAAAAAGAATAATTTACTTGCCCTCATGTCATTCCAAACCTGTGTGACTTTCTTTTTTTCATGGAACACAAAAGGAGACAAAGATATGACTCAGAAGAACCATTTATTTACGCATCAGACATCACTATTTCTGGTACTCACATGAATGTGCAAGGGAGAACTATAGCGGATGTCGTGATTTCAGTGACAATGTAATGCTAAATTTCAGCCTCTTCCTCACAAAATGATAGTTTGACTTCAGAAGATTTGGAATTTGCTTTTCTTTTTGTAACTTTAGAGAATTTTGACATTTGAGGAGTGGCCAGTATATTTTTCAAAATGTCCCCTTTTGTGTTCATTTGAGGAAAGAAAGTCGGGAAAGTTTGGGACAACATGAAGATGAAAAAAATGAGAAAGGAATTACTCTTTATTAAGCTGGATTTCAGAAACATTTGGGATTCAGGTCTTCATTGGTAGCCAGGCAGATACTTTTATTGCTTTGTAATTTTCTTGAAATTGTCTTCTTTGAATGGTCCAAGCTGGTTGTTCCAGCTGCTCTTCTTAATCTTCTGTTTTTCATGCGTCTCATGTCCTTGTGAGAGCATTTGAATCTGTGGGTGTGATCGGCCATCTCTCCTCTCACCCCCTCCCTCCCTTCCTCTCTGTCTTTTTCACTCCTGTCACAGTCTTGTTGTCTCTGTTCGTGTGAGTCTCTGTGAGTGCTGTGAGGTTTCTGACAGACTTTGTGTGAATCAGGGTCTCAGGAAGACGGAACATTGGGAACGTCAGGATGTCTGTCTCAAGAGGAGTTATCAGAACAGGCTTCACAGGCCCAGGATCTTGAGAGACTGGCTCAGCTCTGCATCATGAGCAAAAGGTAGGAGACTGAACTGACTGTGAAAATGATACTGCATATATACAGCATGCAGACTAATTCTGATAAAATTGGCATGCAAAATATAGCAAGTAAGAGTAATTTCCGTGATAGAGGGCATTTAATGGGCACTAATAGTCTAGATACATAATTTAGGAAGATGCATTCAACTGGTCTTGCACAATTTGTCAGAGAATTACACACTGAGTCATATTATTTGTGCTGACTGTCCACACTTATACTTCTTGTTTATGTCTCATTCAAGAAATAAATGACTGCTGCTGTAGTAACTTTTCATTAAATATAAACAAATACGAAAAAAAAAAAAATCTGCACTTTTGGAGAGTGAATTGTTTCATATGGTAACATTCAACGTAACTGGTTTTATTAAAGTGTAATGTTTTAATTATTTTAAAAAAGTTTATTTATAAGCATAATTTCTAACATACTTTTATTAAATACAAATATTATAATATAAATATAATACTTTTTTAATGTAATATAACTTATTTGAATGTATTATATATATATATATATATAATACATTCAAATAAGTTATATTACATTAAAAAAGTATTATATTAATGTTATATTAATTATTTATATGTATTATATATATATATATATATATATATATATATATATATATATATATACAGTTTGAAAACATAACATTCAAATAGCATTCCATTATTTCAGTTATATGCAGATTCTACCTGATTTGACTTAAAAAAATACTTTTTTAAATAGAGAGAGAGAGAGAGAGAGAGAGAGAGAGAGAGAGAGAGAGAGAGAGAGAAAGGTGACTTGTGTTATGTGAGTCTCAAGGTTTCAAATGTTACTGCGACACTCTGAGTGAGGTGTCCGCTTTCCTCCGGGGGCTTAACATGATGAGGCGCTCTTTTGTAAGGCCTCTACCACATACATTTGAGGACATTTATGACCCACAGTTGGCACTGGTTGGGGACTTAAAGCATTTAACCTGATTGTCTCAGGGAAGGAGACAGCTTGCTGGTGCCACGGGAGAGAGGATGACATTAAACTTGAATGAGAACGAGATTGTTTTATTGCTTCCCAAATAAGATAGTGTTTCACAGGACAATGAATTGTGGGGGTATCCACACCATTTGTATGTAATCCCTTAAACTCTTTGGGTCAAGTAACTGTTGAAACCTGAGCAGGGTAGATCTTCAAGATCTGTTGGTCAACTAGGACAGCAGTCATGGTTGAAGTTGTATTTCAGCTTAAAAACAACTAAGCAAGATCACACAATCTCATTATGTCTCCAATTATGAAGAAATATCATCTCAAGAGTCAAGGGTCATTTTTTGACCTGTTAGTTGGACCACATGACTTTGTTAGTAAGAAATCATATTGATATTTGGGGGGGCATAAAGCTAAAACGTGTCCTGAAAAACAGTTCTGATCAACTGTTCTGATATCATAATGAAAAAAATAAATGATTTATTGAATAAATAATTTACAGAATGACATTCTTGATCAGAAAACCTTATGAAGTATTTTGACTTAATATTATTATCATTATTTCTTAGAATAATGAAAAAAGAAAGAAATAGTAAGTAATAAGTAATAGGGGGCTACCAAAAATCATGGGGTCCAACTAACATGCAGAAACATAAATAAATAAATACATACATACAACAGGAAATGATACCAAAGATATGACGACTGCTGACCCTCATTACTTATATCAAGGTCAGTAAGTCTCTAAAAACATTATTAAAATATGAAAATTCTCTTACAATTTTAAGACAAGACAAGGATAGTTCAGGTTATAAAATGTCATGTGGTTTGACTCCCCAAAAAAATAAAACATTTAATTTAGATATTAGAATATTAATATATTAGTTAGTATATTATTTAAATTATATATGTATATAATTGGTAATGTTTCTTTTTTACTCTGTAAAAAATGGAATAATCATGATTATTTTAACCCATTTTTACAGCTTTTAAAAATATATAAATATTCTATTTATGAAAAAGAATGTATTATTTGAGGCATTTGAAACACATTTAGCATATATTATGTATAAAAAATATATTTTTATGCATACAACGTTTAATATATATATATATATATGATAAAATATTGATTAAGATGTGTATGTAATCAATGTTTTTACTTTTTACTTGGTACTTTTTTTATTTATTGAAAAAGTAAAGTACATTTCTAAGGCCTTTGAAAAAAGAGGATTCTATTTCTATTTATCGTGGACACTGGACAGTGAACACTCATATCATTGACTCTTAAATCAGTATTTCATGTCCATTGATTTATTTTTTTCTTAAAAACCCAAAAAGTGGTTGTATTTATTTTTAAGGTAACAAATAAACAAATTTACTTTTAAAGGTCTGAAAATTATGACACAAAATGTAGCTCAAGCCCTATGGAGTGAATAGGAAGTGGTTCGGCCTCTTGAATCTTTCAGTGTCGGGGCAGGAAGTGCTCTTGTAGCTGAGAGCTTTGCCATGTTGTGTCCGATCAAATGTCCCCTGAGGACAATCCAAAACAGTGCAAACCAACACCTAGTCATTATTAATTAACGTAGGACCATAATAACCACGCTGACATATGTATTGGCTTTAAAAACATTCTGTACATTCAAGAGAGAAGAATGGGAAGAGTATAAAAACATGACATTCAGAACTTTAAGAATATGAGAAGGAATCAATATTGAATTCCTGACCTATATCCAAAAAATTTCTCACTGTACACCCTGAGGACAAACTGTCGCCCATCCAAATAGCACCGTTCTTCACACACATGCCAGGAGTTCCAGCCAAAAAGAAGAGCGTGCCATATCTCTGGCACATTTCCACTAGCTCCAGTAGGAATCACAGCACACGTGTGCCCGGATTTGTTGTAACGGGTGCTGTAATGGATACGCATGCTTCGACGAGCCTGACTGTGCTGTGGCTTTCTGTATCTGTGCTTAAATAAAGCAAAGGTGCAGGCCAGTGGGCTCAAATGGAGCTTTATGCCTATGTGCTCTAATTTATTATTATTTATTTTTTACAACAGCTTCCCGATACTATTTGTAGTTGTGGTAAAAATAGAGTTAGCAGAACAGAATCTATATGGATAAAATATGGTATAGACTGTGAGTCACAGAGGATTTATATAAAGGATGCACATTGTTTGCACTTCATTGGTGCCGGCGTAGTTCATCATGCATGTCTTTGTTATTTAAATCTGTCTGTGTTAGTTTTATAGGGCTTCTGTAACAGATGTTCAAATGTACTGAACCCTATGAGTCATGTGTTTACCATGTGATGGCTTACAGGAGGAGGGGAATATTCACTCCTCATGCTATTTATACAATAAGTGTATACTGTATGTGAATCGTCTGGATGCATAACCTTGTGAAAAAGGATTTATAAATAGTGCTATTTTGAAATGCGGTTAAAGTGTACTGCCGAATCTATTGACAAGCATTTGTGGTAAATTAAAATATACTTTAATGTAATTTCTATTGAAACTTGTATTGAAACTCATGTATTTATATATATTTGTAATTACACGTTTGTAATGATAAAGTTGAAATTTAAAAATAAAATGATAGATGCTAAAATTAAATAAAATAAATCAAGTACATGTGCTTTAATATGTTAGTCAACACAAGAAAATTGTACAACAAAACATTTTTTTGTGTACTTCAAAGTAAGATTTTTGATTTGGACATTATTACAGAGTGCACTTTTTAAAAATGTAAACTCTCTATGTACTCTATTTTATGTGGCCTTTTATTTATATTAATATTATAATATATGCAAGTACAGTTGTTGTTTTTTAAATATATGCTTTTAATATTTTTTCAGTACACTACAAGTGCATGTTCAAAAAAAAAATTAAGTGCACTTCTTTCTACAGTTTTTCTCAGTCGCTTTGGTGCATTTCTCAGATCAGAGATGAAATTCTCAAAACTACTTGTTCAACCTCCACATCATCTAGTCACTTGTGCACATCATAAAAGCAGTTAATTCTTTTGAACAAGTTGCGATTGCTTTGGTACATTCATGCAACTGATTATGTACATATGTCTGCGGTTTGCTACATTATCAGTTGCTGTTGTCATGTTGCTCAAAATGTATTATATAGTTCTCTGTGCAATAGTCTTACCCCTCAAAACATCTAGTCATTAGTTCATCGTCTAAGTCATTGAATGCTAAATGGTTGATCTAGTTGTCATAAACTGTCAAGCATATTTTCTACACATTTCTATTAGTCTTATTATAAATTTGCCATGAATTGTGCGGGTAAATCTTGACTTTCACTAATGTGAATCAACCAATGATAAACTAGGTCTCTGAAATTCCTCGTACAGTTCTACCTAAGGGGTGTTTCCTGTGTTTGCCTTTCTAAATTTATATTTCTGCCTTCGTGCCCATATTTCTTTTTCTTTTCTATATCACAATGATGTTGTAATATGTGTTTTTTTTTTGTCAGACCTCTATAGTAAAAGTGTAAGAGTGAATCCAGTCTCTTTCAATCAATATCCCTCATACAGTCATTTATATATTTGTACTTTTGAAATGAATATATATGGCATGCATAAGAAGTGCAGCCTTCTGCATTTCAATATAGCATCTGTCCTCCAAACAGTTGCCACAGTTTACAGCAGGTAATAATAACAGAGTGCACTGTTATATTGACAACATGACTAAGAATTTTGACTATCTTGTTTGTGAACAATGACACAAGGACTTTTCATTCTGATGGCACTGATATGTTCATTGACATAAATACTTACTTTTGAGAGATGAACTAAAGATTTTGAGTAAGTTACAGGCTTTTGCAGGTAATCCATTGTGTGGTGCTGTTTGTACAAATTGTTTTTAGAAATGCATATACTTCTTTCCAAATATTAAGGATGATTCGAGAAATGCACCAAAGTGACTGAGAAAAACTGTAATATGCAACATTTACCAACGTTTTGAAGTATAAACAAGAGCATGCTGTATACTGTACCCCACAATGCAACATATGCATCCTGGCCTTCCATTTCCATGATGAAGTGATATTTTTTACACAAAATTGGATTAAAATATAAAAGAATCATTTTTAATTAGGTTTTTAAACTCTTTGTAAGCTTTTTATCATTTGTTTATAGGAAGTGCTGTCAAACGGATTAATCGTGATTAGTAATTAAGTATAAAAGAAAGAAAGTAATATGGGGCAACCAAAAAGTCATGGGGTCCAACTAACATGCAGAAACATAAATAAATGAATACATACATACAACAGGAAATGATACCAAAGATATGACGACTGCTGACCCTCGTTACTTGTATCAAGGTCAGTAAGTCTCTAAAAATATTATTAAAATATGAAAAAATTATCTTACAATTTTAAGACAAGGTTAGTTCAGGCTATAAAATGTGGTTTGACTCCCCAAATATGTAATGATAATTATGAATTAATAATTCATGATAAAAAAAAATATATATATATATATAATAAAAATATAAAAAAAATAAAAACCAATGATTTAGATGTAGAGAGTAGTTATATAAGGTTTTATAGCGGGTGAGAGATCCAATGAATGTCAAGTGTTTGCCTGACAGTCTCTCTCTCTCTCATTCACACTTCCTTTTATAAATACTGACCTGCTGTAGTAGTTTTGACAAGCAAATAAACTTGATATCAAGGCGATAGTTATATCTTAACATGCTTATACAGACTGAACAGGCTCATACTCACGTACAGTAAGTATTATGGGCTTTGCTTTGCTCACAGAACACATATCAATATTAATGATCTGTCTACTATATTATGTTGAAATATGTGATATTATACTGGGCCCTCTTTGCAAATACACTCTTATTCTCTCACTCTTTATGACTGCAGTATGAGAAAAAGGTCAACCAAGTCCTGAAGGCGTAATCAATGATATAGATTTGCTGATTGATGATAGACAACATGTGCATGAATGTGCTCAGTAATGTTCAGACTACATGCTTCCACAGTGTTTTTTACGCACTATGTACACTGCACACTGTGTATGCATGAAACACTCTGAAAGGAACATTGTATCCCACAATGCATGTGATAGAGGAACTAGAAATAATATCAGTTGTGGTTTGATTTTTTTTAATACAATTTTTTGACATTTGATGTCAAGAACAATTTTACACATGCAAAATAACAATTTTGGACAATAATTTCTAATGTTTGTGTCACTCTCCATTGCTTTCAGACCCCACCTTGCTTTAGAATACAGTGGCAAGGTACGTAGATTGTGTTTTAGTTTATATGCAATATGACAGAAGGCTTTTAAAGAGGAAAAGTCTGAAGAAATGTCAAAGTAATTGTAATTTCTCTCATTTATTCCCATTAGGCCACTAAAATCCACCAGAGGGCTTTTGGTAACGATCACCCCATCACAGCCCGGAGTCTGGAGCTGCTGGCCACTGTCTATGCTGAGATCGGCAAAACAGAATATACAAGTAACTATGGAAAATGTCTTCAGTATCAAATCGGCACTAAAATATGATTTTGAAAACATTACATCAATTACAGAAGGCTAATTGTCCTTATAAAAATGTACCTTAAGCATAGTTTTTGACAAAATCCTTCATATTTACTACAAGAATCGTTAATGCTGTAAAACCATTATGATTTTACAGCATTAACAATTATTTTCTAAATGCTTTAAAGCATGCTGAAAATGTACTCACCCTCAGGCCATCCAAGATACAGATGAGTTTGTTTCTTCATCGGAACAGTTTTAGAGAAATGTATCATTACATAATTTGCTCACCAATGGATCCTCTACAGTGAATGGGTGCCGTCAGAATGAGAGCCCAAGTAATCCACACGACTGCAGTCTGTCAATGTCTTGTAAAGCAAAAATCTGCGTGTTTATAAGAAACAAATACATCAAGACTCTTTAACTTCAAACTGTCTTTACAAGACATTAATTGATGGACTGGAGTGGTGTGGATTATTGTGATGATTTTTATCAGCTGTTTGGTCTCCCATTCTGACGGCACCCATTCACTGCAGAGGATCCATTGGTGAGCAAGTGGCATAATACAAAATGTATTCAAATCTGTTCTGATGAAAAAATAAAACGAATCTACATTTTGAATGGCACATTTTCAGCAAATGCTCATTTTTGGTTCTTTTTTTGATTTCTGTAATTTAGTTTGATTTATTTATAATTTATTATTTTTCTTATGACAGTAGTGGCTATTTACAGAACCGTGTTACCACAGTAATTTGCTATATGGTAAATCTGTATAAAGCTTATTTAAGTACATCTGATTTGCAATTTACTGTACATTCTAGGCCCATACAACCCAACAGCCTTTCATATCCTTATTAAAGTGTTCTGATTGTCATAGCAGTAGCTTGGAAGCAGCTTCTAGTGAAAGCCCTTTTGAGAATGCTACTCATATAGAGCCATTTACTCCTTCCACTTAGTGAGGAAGCAAGGAAAGTGTGCTACATCTAAGTCTACTGTACATAGTTCTGTACAATAAAAAAAACTGCAGAGCTAAATCGCCTGAATGAGTAAACATTTATTCCAAGCATGCACTTTCTGTCTGCAGCTGATGGCGTTTTAGATCTCAGGCAGAAAAGCCATGTCGTGTCTTTGACAGTTTGAGGCCAGGGCATTTTTGTAAGCAGAAATGCTTTGCTAGTTTTCTGGAAGGACAGGACGTTCTGCGTCTTCCCTATTGCCTTTTTCCTGGACGATGAAAAATGTATTCTATAGGGCAGCAATGTGTCATGAATGTCAAACTCAGCTGCAAAGTCAGCTTTCCGAGAGAAAATGCTTTCACCACAACATGTCACCTGCATGCCACTGTGTCATAGTTTCAATGCTAAATTATTCTCTGCTAAACTAGTTTCATCATGCAAACTGTTCCGACCAGAAACAAATATGCGTGTTGCTTTTTGCTGATGTGATGTCAAATATGTTGTTCTGCAGTTTGTGAAGTGCTCTCTATGTTACAGATTCATTGGGAGAGTGTGTGTCGACTCTTTCCAAAAGGTTCTCAGCCACCGAGTCATTCAGCGATGCTCTGAGTAGCATCTCTCATAGCCATAAAAGCAGACACTCTGAGCTGCGACACAGAAAAGAGCCATACATACAACAGGAAACTCCTAAAACGAAGGTAATACTGCAGCCAGTGACACTTGACACTGACACCATGATAAAGAAAAATATCATTTTTTAGAAATGTACTCTTTGCATTCATGTTAGTTTTATATGGTTTTCAACAACTTTGATATTGGCAAGAAAATAATAAATTCAGTGGTGTCATGTGGTGTAACCATCAAGTAAAAAACTATAACATATACACCTGTGTACACATTCATTCATTTCAAAAACATTTTACAGTATATCGTTCAAAGTAAAAAGTACTTTTGAAAATATAATGAATTAATGTAAGTTTTTTTAGGAGTTGCTCCAAATGACATTTTACAACCTGAGGTAACCTTACCTTATCATTAAATAGATTCAATTGTTTAATATTATCAGATTCTTCTTTTTTTTCTTCTTCATTACAAATTAAGGACATTTGTATCGTCCTGACATTTTTGACTTTGTGTATTCAAGTCATGGTATTTACATATTTACAGTATGAAATACATTTTTTATGTATTTTTGAATAAATTCATACATTTGTCACATTATTGACCCACAACCCACGTGTTTTTGGGCCAACATCCTAGTGTAAATCACATTCTTTTTTCACTCTTCTTTTTGCTGTTAAAATGTCATGACATTTTATTGCAAACAATCTTGTCACATGAAATGAGTGTTGTCAAAAGGTCTTAGGAATCAGGAGGTAAAGTTATAGGAATCTACTGCCACTGTCAAATTACTTTATATCGCCTCTATCAAACATTCTGGAAGTCGATAGTTTTGTCTTTTCTGATTTCAGGTCATAAATGAAAAACTGCCCACCTCTATTCTGAAAAGGTCCAATGTGAGCAATGTGGAGTCAGACTCATTGCGCAGGCGAAAAAGCGAGAGGCGGGTTCGCTTCAGAGAGCCGGAGATCACTGTTCATGGTGAGAGAGTTCAAACAAACCGGCTCTAGCAGTCCGTAAAATCTCCAGAGACTCTTCTTTAAAGTGGTTCTCTGCATTATTAAGAGCTGGCACTTGAAAATAGTAAAGTAAATGAAACATGTTGAAGTGGGTTGTAAAAGATTGTTCTCATTGAGGCCTGCGGTTAATGAATCAACTGAAAAGAAAAAAAAAGGATGCACAAACATACCCAAGTGATTTACTTTCCAGATTAATTATACATGCAAATTAGTGTGCAATCTGTGCCAACAACACTGTTATGTTAATGAAACGAGGAATTTAATTTAAGGAATTAAGGAAGATAGTAATTCAGGGCACCAGTGTAGTTTGTTTAGATGCACAGTTTGTCTTTCTCTCAAGAGCTTATTGCAAAACCCAGTATGAATGAAGGTCATGTGCTTCCGTGTCTCCAAAGATTTAAGTGTGGTCACATTAGTGAAATTTCACAAGCAAAGGTCCTTTGTGAGTCTTGTGAGATTGTGTGGATTGCTATTGAAATGCCTGGATTTTGTGGAGCGGTAAATGTGCCTGCACCTTTAGTTGTATGAATGGTTATTGGTTTTACAAAGATTTTGCCTAAATTAAACCTAAACCATTGTTACCTTTTATGTTGGGTTTCCAGACATTCCGTACTATGAATGTTTAGGAGGTAAGTAGATAAGAAATATGTTGGGCAGTGTGGTGGATCTCTAAAATGCATGAAAAGATGCATGATTTTCTTGCATGAAATCTGGGACTCAGAACAGCCTGAGCATTTATAAGTAGCCCTTTGCTGTGGTTTTATAAGTTTACATGAATGGAGCTACAATTTGTTTGCCTTTGGCTATTTGAAATATTTCACTGAGGTATATCATGCATGTACAACCAAAAGAAAGTTACATTTGTATTTATTTTTTTGGGGTTAAAAGTGCAGTTAGCCGTTTTAGCACTTGTGGAATTCCCCTAGACTTATCCAGTAAATAATGCTGCCTTCGTGTGATATTGGAAATTTCATTCTTCCCACTTCTGTAAGTCCGTAATTATGAGTTTGTGAGTTTACGGCATCTTTTTAAAGCCAAAATGTATGAAAAATATTTTGTCCATATTAATTTGAATAAAAAGTAGTGTCCCATTCTTAGAAAACCATATAAACGATACATTCATCTAGATTGTCAGAATTTTGGTCTAATAAAGGTTGATTTTGCTGTCTAAAATACAGATAATGTGCATCAAATGATTATTTTTTATACGTAATGTCAGTGTTATCTAAAGCAACGTTAGCAAAATAGCCTCTCACGAGACAAGCTAACAGCTAACTAGCATGCTCGCAGTTTGCTTTTTTTCTGTACAGTGTATGGAATGGCCTGTAAATGTGCAAATTGGTTGAAATGATAAAGTAATAAAAACATTAGAAAAAAATGCTTAGAGCACATTTAAAGAATTACTACGGAGCCCCGCACATGACATGTAGGAAAAAAATATATATATTGTGGTCACAAATTAAGAATTTGTTCCCACACTTGGCCATGTTGTACTAATTTTTCCCCTCCATTTAGGGTACGTTTACACAACAACGATGTTCTAAAAATGGAAAAGTACACTTTGAAACCATTTTCAAAAGTTTGCTTTTCAGGCCCTTAAAACACTGTTGTCGTGTAAATGAATGGCCAAAACGCATAAGAAGTTTTCTGTTTTTAGTTGAAAATGGTGTTGTATAAACTCCTCCTTAGTAAATCATGGCAACGTTGTACTAATTAATTCCCTTGTTTTAATAAATCAAAACGAGGGTAAGAATTAGTACACCGTGGCCACAATCACAAATACTATAGAACGAATTAATAAGTTGCGAGAACTCATTTTTAATTTGTGGCCATGATTTAACTAAAACGATAGTTAACGATAAACGATAAAATGAAGAAACAAATTAATAAAACAAACTCATTCTTAAAGGTGCTGTATGTAAGTTTTTGACTCTACTAAAGCATAAAAATACCATAATATGTTTGCAGGTATTTAAGAAACATGCTAAGTTAACATATTTCTTTATCTGAAAAACAATGCTACAGTCAGTTATCCTCCTTTGAAAATGTGCGTTCCGGGCCGGAATGTCTGTCTCTTTTTTGGTTTGTGAAACCCGCCCTCTGCCAGTTTACCCAATTGTATTTCGGCACCCGGGTTGCCAGTTGGTGGAAAACACAGCGTATTTCATTTCATTCATCGTCAAGTGCACTCGTTCCTGTTGGTGTCGTCAATCTGGCAACCTGCATGTGCGTCACGCCTGAGGAGGAGGGACAGGGTGAAAAAAACCCTCTCCAATATTTTGAATTTGAACTGCAATACCTAGTTCAACCTTTTTTGGGGTTAAAAGTGCAGTTAGCCGTTTTAGCACTTGTGGAATTCCCCTAGACTTATCCAGTAAATAATGCTGCCTTCGTGTGATATTGGAAATTTCATTCTTCCCACTTCTGTAAGTCCGTAATTATGAGTTTGTGAGTTTACGGCATCTTTTTAAAGCCAAAATGTATGAAAAATATTTTGTCCATATTAATTTGAATAAAAAGTAGTGTCCCATTCTTAGAAAACCATATAAACGATACATTCATCTAGATTGTCAGAATTTTGGTCTAATAAAGGTTGATTTTGCTGTCTAAAATACAGATAATGTGCATCAAATGATTATTTTTTATACGTAATGTCAGTGTTATCTAAAGCAACGTTAGCAAAATAGCCTCTCACGAGACAAGCTAACAGCTAACTAGCATGCTCGCAGTTTGCTTTTTTTCTGTACAGTGTATGGAATGGCCTGTAAATGTGCAAATTGGTTGAAATGATAAAGTAATAAAAACATTAGAAAAAAATGCTTAGAGCACATTTAAAGAATTACTACGGAGCCCCGCACATGACATGTAGGAAAAAAATATATATATTGTGGTCACAAATTAAGAATTTGTTGCCACACTTGGCCATGTTGTACTAATTTTTCCCCTCCATTTAGGGTACGTTTACACAACAACGATGTTCTAAAAATGGAAAAGTACACTTTGAAACCATTTTCAAAAGTTTGCTTTTCAGGCCACTGTTGTACTGTTGTCGTGTAAATGAATGGCCAAAACGCATAAGAAGTTTTCTGTTTTTAGTTGAAAATGGTGTTGTCTCCTTAGTACCTTAGTAAATCATGGCAACGTTGTACTAATTAATTCCCTTGTTTTAATAAATCAAAACGAGGGTAAGAATTAGTACACCGTGGCCACAATCACAAATACTATAGAACGAATTAATAAGTTGCGAGAACTCATTTTTAATTTGTGGCCATGATTTAACTAAAACGATAGTTAACGATAAACGATAAAATGAAGAAACAAATTAATAAAACAAACTCATTCTTAAAGGTGCTGTATGTAAGTTTTTGACTCTACTAAAGCATAAAAATACCATAATATGTTTGCAGGTATTTAAGAAACATGCTAAGTTAACATATTTCTTTATCTGAAAAACAATGCTACAGTCAGTTATCCTCCTTTGAAAATGTGCGTTCCGGGCCGGAATGTCTGTCTCTTTTTTGGTTTGTGAAACCCGCCCTCTGCCAGTTTACCCAATTGTATTTCGGCACCCGGGTTGCCAGTTGGTGGAAAACACAGCGTATTTCATTTCATTCATCGTCAAGTGCACTCGTTCCTGTTGGTGTCGTCAATCTGGCAACCTGCATGTGCGTCAGGCCTGAGGAGGAGGGACAGGGTGAAAAAAACCCTCTCCAATATTTTGAATTTGAACTGCAATACCTAGTTCAACCACTCTGTGTCAATCCTACATACAGCACCTTTAATTTATGCCATATGCGTTTGTCTGCAGGTCATGTGGCTCTGTTTTAAAGGGGTCATGTAATAATGTCAAATATGTGAAAAATAATGTGTTTTTCGAACAACCTAGTATGAGAGCCCCAAAACAAAATCAAGACTTTGTAAAAGAGCATAATAGGACCCCTTTAAACTGTTGCGCAGCCAACAAGTTTAGCATTTCAACCCAAACCTTTTTGGACTTTGTGTTCCAGTCTACGACACCCCCCAGAGCCGTTTGCACCTGGCCCTGCTCACCTGCCTGTTCCTGCTTCTGTCTGCGCTGGGTCTAGCACTGTACTGCACGGACCGCCGAAGACCCCAGCGTGCCTGCGAAGAGCTGCAGACGGCACTGGCTGTGTACCTGCTTCAGTTCAAACAGATCGTTTGGGCCTGCTGGATCTGGCTGACCATGCAATGACCATAACTGACCACAGGGGGCAGCAATGGGCAGGGGAAAAAACATAAAAGGTCAGGATGTTTTTTGAAGGACTGCAGAAAAAAAAGATAAAGGTCCCCTTGGTTTTTTTTTTATTGCTTTACTTTCACTGTTATAATCAGTCTGGCCACCAGTCGAAGCCTATGAGGATGTTCAACATCCACCTCTTTTACTTTGTGGTTGATTGAAGGCCATGTGCTTTTCCACACCATCAAGGGATGGTGTGCTTTTTTGCCCTTTATGGTGGAATAGCTAATGCCACATCCTCATTATATGGAGCCGTGTGTATTTAGATCTCTGTATGTAGCTCTTTTTCTTCCTATAGCGGTTCTGGGTGATATGTCTTAAAGGAATAGTTCACCAAAAATGAAAATTTTCTGAAAATTGACTCATCCTCAGGCCATCCAAGATGTAGATGAGTTTGTTTCTTTATCAGAACAGATTTGGAGAAATTTAGCATTACATCACTTGCTCACCAGTGGATCCTCTGTAGTAAATGGGTGCCGTCAGAATGAGAGTCCAAACAGCTGATAAAAACATCATAATGATTCAAAAGTAATCCACATGACTCCAGTCCATGACGTTTTGTGACGCAAAAACCTGTTTGTTTGTGAGAAACAAATCCATCATTAAGGCGTTTTATACTTTAAATCGTTTTACTTGTGAATTACTGTGACATTTTTGTCAGCTGTTTGGACTCTCATTCTCACGGCACCCATTCACTGTGAAGGATCCACTGGTGAGCAAGTGATGTAATGTTAAATTTCTCCAACACTGTTCCGATGAAGAAACAAACTCATCTACATCTTGGATGGCCTGAGGGTGAGTACATTTTCAGTACATTTTTATTTTTTTGCTGAACTATTCCTTTAAAGCATCTTTTGGTCCTTTTCCAATGAATACTTGTGCAGCAATATTAATTAAAACTTTTAGCACTTGAAATTATACAGGACTGCCAATACAGAAATGAATGAATGAATTCTGTCCACAGGTAGAGCCCGACTGATATATTGGTAGGTCAGTATTATCAGTCAAATTAGGCATGCAAGATATTGAATTACTATATTGGTCTTTAATAAGCAGTATGGAAAAGAGCCAGGTGCAACGGTGAGCACATGCATAATGTCATGTGCATTGTAACAAATAGTTCCATTTTAGTGCCCGAGAACACTTAGACACACACATATCGCATGTGTTATAGAATGAGTAAACGCATGACTGGATCATTTCCTGCTAGTGCTGTTCTTTGTGTTCTTTGCTTCATATAGTATGTACCTCAAAGTGTTGCATCAAAAAAGGTTAATTTCTAAAGTACAATTTTTGTCTTAGGATATAAATAGCAATATAAGGGCTTTCTGGTTCAAAGAGTGAATTTAGGAAACTGTTTAATTTACGGATTTACAAAAATAAAGACAGGATTGAGCTGGAAATGTTTATCCTCAGACATATTCAAGAATGGATTTACTTTCATGACAGCTTCAAAACATCTTAATATTTTGATTTTGATGCAACCATGTCATTTTAATTAAATATAAAATCAAAGACATGATCCTCATTTTTGTCCTGTAAAATAATTTATTTAAAAATACAATTAAAATATTATACTAAAATATTGTAACTATATTGTATGACGACACTTTTAGCATTTATCTACTTTACCAGAAACGAAGGGCAAAACTGTTCCATTAAGCACAAACATTTCCATCTGCCACTAATTCTCTTAGAAAGAGATATAAGACCGTTGAAGGATGAGTTGGTCATATATTGTGTCATGCACTGCCAGATTTAACTGGCAAATGAAAGAATGCCATTTTAAATAGCGAAATGCTTTATGATGTTCGCAATATTTAAGTTTATATTTTACATAAACCTGTATACCAGCATCTTGGCCTCAGCCTAATAACGGTGCATTCATTTGTTTTACTATGTTTTATAAGAATTTTCTTTTTCTATCTTTTTTACTGTTCCACTCAAGTTTTACACTTTTAGTCTCTTAATCTTCCTTTATAGCAGCAGCTGTTCAGTATCTATTTTTCTAGTTTTTGGACGAGCAATTTCTGTCAAATTATATCAGTCTTTGGTTTCTAGTGTCGCCAAAATTGCTTATTTTCTCCATTAGCACACAACTTGACATGTATCGCTTGAATGGAGGGGACAGTACACCCAAAATTGACAACTCTGTCATCATGAAAAGACACACACACCTGTTCAAAAGTTTAGGGGCAGTAAGATTTTTTTTTTTTTTAAAGAAATTAATATTTTTATTCAGAACGGATGCATTAAATTGATCAAAAGTGACAGTAAAGACATAATGTTACAACAGATTTCTATTTCAAATTAATGCTGTTCTTTTGAACTTCTATTCATTAAAGAATCCTAAAGCAGCACAACTTTTTTCTTTTTTTTTTCACCATTGATAAGATATATTTCTTGAGCAGCAAATTAGCAAGAAGAATCATGTGACACTGAAGACTGGAGTAATCATGCTGAAAATTCAGCTTTAATATCACAGGAATAAAATGCATTTTAAAATATATTAACATACTGTATAAAACTGTTATTTTTAATGTATAATATTTTACTGTATGCAGTTGTGGTTAGTATAAGAGCTTTCTTTAAAAATCTTACCGACCCCAAATATTTAATATTTAGTAAAAATGCAATTGGATTAATCCCCATCGATACAAATGATTAAGAGAAATGAGTTGCACAAATAAAAAATAAAAAAAACTGCTGTGACCTGCATCAAATCACTGTGAGTTACTAGATAGAAATATTTGAAAATGTCAGACACAAAACAAATGTGTCATTATATCTTGAGTCATTTACATGATATGTTGTGCACTGTATGTCTAATTATTACATTTATGCAACACTTAATTAGCACACTTGCTTACTGTACTATACCCATTTCAGGGGAATTCAGATGACAAAAGGGAAATATACTAAATATTTTGTACTGTTGAGCCAGCCAATCGCTGAAGCAATAAAATCACCCCAGGTCAAAGACACATTCTTTTTTTTTTAGTCTTTCTGTAATGTCTATTTCAATAGAGGTGCTTTATGGCGGTATATATTTACTGCATTTCTTTTCTTTCAAATATTCCAAACCAAAAAGAGCTCTAAATCGTCACTAGTTTAAAAATCTGAATTTGATTTATTTCATGATCAGAAAAATCAACAATTGCTTTGTATTTTCATCACCATTGCTGTTTATACTGCTTTTATTAAATAAAAGCCCTAAAACAAATATAGACGTATAATGTTGAAGGTTACAGAGATGTGTTCACACTATCACACAATAAATAAAATGATGCACAAAACAATCTATGCATAATGTTTTATACTCGGAAACGTGGGCCTGAGTGTGTTACAGAGTAACAGTGAATCACGACTCGTGCTCATAAACTAGCAAAACTCAAATAGAATCCATTAGAGTTAGGAGGACTAGTTATCATAAGATGCTTGAACCAAAAATGGCATGCATCAAATTGTATTGCAAGAATATTTCAAAACATAGTGAACTATATATGGAGTGTAACGACACACACTTTGTAGATGATTCTAGGAAAGCAAGTAAACTGGATATAGCAAATCATTCAATCATCCCTCCAAATATCACACATCAAATTCTGATGTTATATCCTGAAGACTGAAGATTTGTCACTTCAATAGCTTTATAGAGCCTAGATTTCCTCTTCGTCTGTCTGAATTAATATATACTGTATGTAGATGCAAGCATGTTTTCAATAGCAATCCCTTTACATAGGAAGGATACTACCACTGTCATAAACATCATTATATATGTCTTACACATAGAGGCAGTACTGGAAGTGAATGATCCTTTAGTAAAGAAAACCAGACATGGTTCACACACACATAGTGTGTAAAACTAGAATTACCTGAGCTACAATGTATGTCCTAAGTCCAACTCCTCAGCTAATGTAGAGCACTGATGGAATAGAGACCGACTGGAAGCTATTGCTCATTTCTAGCACTGCTTTAAATAGGCTTTAGAAGGAAAGAATCATTTGGTTGAGTAAAAACATAACTGGCAATAGGACGTTGATTGTATGTCACACAGGATTTTCAAGAACATTATTTAAACACACTTCCTTAAAGGCATAGTTTGCCCAAAATTGAACATTCTTTCATCAATTACTCACCCTCATGTCATTCCAAACTTGTTATCTTGAAACACAAGTGAAGATATTTTTAATGAAACCTGAAAAATTTCTATCCCTCCAAGGAAAGTTCATTTGCCAAATATGCTTGTTTGATGCACGAGAACCAATCAGCTATGTTCTTGCATGGGACTCAAGCATGTTTACCATATTTAATGTTTGCGCTGTATTTGCATTGATCAATGTCTATATGAGCAGATATAATTTAGGCTTTTAGTCACATATAAAGTTACCATGTCTCTTCAGAAGACATGGATTAAATTGCTCAATTCTTAAGGATTATATACAATGGTATGAACTTTTTAAAGCTTTTGTAGAATTGACTTTCATTGAAGGGACAGAAATCTAATGAAGCTTAGAAAAAAGAAATAAGTATTTTAAAAGTAGAATTGTGACTTTTTATCTCGCAATTGTGTTCATAAACTCACAATTGTGCGTTTATATCACAATTCTAAGAAAAAAGTTATAATTGCAAGATATAAATACAGTATTGTGAGAAATAAAGTCAGAGTTGCAAGAGAGCCTATAAACTCTGAATTGCGAGAAATAGTCGCATTTCTGAGAGAAAAAAAAAATCTGAATTATGAGCTGTAAATTGCAAGATACATTAACTCAGATTTAAAATTCACAATTCAAAGAAAAAAGTCAGAATCTGCGAGATATAAACGCGCAATTCTGAGATGTCTGAATTGTGAGAAATAGACTTGCAATTGTAAGAAAAAGTCCGAATTGTGAGATAAAAAGTCGCAATTACCTTTTTTAATTTTTTTTATTCTGTGGTGGAAACGGGTTTCCATAGAAATCTCTCTGGCTTCATTGAAAATGTTTTCATTTTGTGTTTTGAAGATGATTGAATGTCTTAAAAGTTTGGGATAACGAAGTAATTCATAAAAGAATTACATTTTTCTTGAACTATCCCTTTAAAGTTATTGATGTTCACTGTTTATTTTGTCCAGGGTCTTGTGTTTCAAGCTCAACATCAAAAAATGTTGTGGTGAATGATCTGTGACCTCTGTCCGAACAATTGAGTGCACGTGAATGTCTATTCTCAGTCATTGTCGACTGTCAAATAAAATGTAATTCAGAAGCATTTGGTTCAGTTAAGCTCAACTGAGGTCAATCAAAAGTTGAGAAGCACCCAACTAATGAGACAAATTTACAAGCTTATGAACACATTTTACTTAACAGTACATTCCAAAGCGTTGAAAATGTTGAGCTGGTCATATCATGCCACTTTTCGCATCTACCACATCAGAGCGCCGGCGTGACGAGTGTCTGAGTAGGAACTCTTTCTCGTGAATCAAGCTGTCGACCAGATCCTCTTGACGGTAGTTATGATAGACCTTCAGAAAGGCCATGACAGTGATGCCGAGCCAAGTCAGCCAGGCCGCCCACAACCCAAACTAGAGGAAGCAGAGGAGGCTTGACTGTTACATTCATGAGAAAAACTGGTAATAAGCATTGTGAATTCAACAAGACAAACTTTGAATGCTGGAAGTCTGCAACAATGTGAAGATTAATAAATAACAATGTGAAGGTCAGCATTTTAGTACTTCCAGCTCCATCAGCCCGAAGTCACTGGGTGTTTTAAATGAGTTTTTGGTTAAATGGTGAACACAAAACTCAAGATATTTTTACGTTTTATTCAAAGACATAAAACACATCAGGATTCATTACTTTGCGATTTTTGACAGATGTCACTGTGGTGTAGTTCATTTATTGCCTACATTTATCTTTTTTACTTCTGGCGATTGTATTTAGGCTTGTTGTGTTCAATTGTGAATCATAAACTTTTGTTGGTCACAGAGCTTATTTTCTGCAATAATCCAAAAGCCAATGGATGAACACTTTTGGGGTTTGCCGAGGGAACAAGGGTGATGCTAACCTTCAGATCGGCCTACAAAAATAAGTCATCACTACAGCACTCTTTGAGATTTGTGAAGGTTATATAGTCCCTATAATTAGAATATTTAAGTCTGATGTAAGAAGGAATCTCAGTTTTGATAAGGAGTCTTAATTCGTTGCTAGGGTGAATATTTACTAATAGTCTCAAATGTCTGACTAACCATATGCTACAGATTTTTGTTAAAACGATTTTTGGTTGAACTGCCAAGATAATGACCCCCTATTGATATAAAGCACTCATGTAGTTATCAAACACAGTTTATATTTTTAACTGACCAACCTGTGCTATGGCAAACTGGTCATAAAAAGCAGAATTGTCCAACCCTAGTTCAAGATCAGTGTCCTGTAGATCCTCACAGCTAGAAATGAACAGTAGTCAGTGTTAGATATGATTCACAGACACTTGAAGAATCAACATTTAATCAAGTAGATATTGCTCATAAAAACTTGAAGAACAAAGCTGCTTGTCAGACACATTCAGGGTTTATATTCAAAGAATGTAGTAGTCTGTGGACACTAAAACGTGACTGAACTTTAAAAGTCACTGAAGTGAACTGAGCCAAAAGCCTCTGGCTAATTTCAATGTCACCAAACCCTCTCTGGCAGAGAAAAACAGGCCTATCCAATTAACTGTGGCTCTTTTCAAGCTAAAAAACATGCTTTATATACATTGTAGTGTTCATTTATACATTGTAGAAGCAGAAAATAGCGGCGTCATGCTTACCTGCTGGGCATACTGCCTCCTTCTTTGATGGCATCACACCATAGATTGAAACCCACACTGACTATTGTGCTGGACAGGAACACAGCAAACACTACGAATGTGCTGATGAGCAGGTTCAGGAAGGCATTGAAGATCGAGCTGTATAAAGAAAGGTAAAAGAGAGATTTTACTACAGTAAATTCATCATTTGCACTCTCCAGTTATTCCAAACCCATGCTATTTCCTTTCTTCTGTGGAACACAAAAGAAGATATTTTGCAGAATGCTGAGCTGCTCTTTTCCATTAAAAGTGACAAAGGACAGTGATTCACACTGTTTATCCTCCAAAAGGCTATGTATAGTTATCTAGTTTTTTTTTTTAATTATTATTATTAATTGGGGATGAAACGATGCACCCGAGCTGGATTAAACCCATACAAATACGTAATGATTCATCTTTTGATTTATAATTAGTTTTAAATCTCATTTTGTTTAAAAATAAATAAATAAAAAATTGTGAGAAAAATGGATTTTATCATGAAATCAGTTTCGTGAATCGTATCGCATCGTGAGTTGAGTGAATCGTTACATCCCTATTATTAATATTTATTTCAGTTTTAGTTTTAGCTATTTTAGTACATCGTTAAACTAAATTTAAATGAGCAATGTTGCATTGACAACTATCTGAAAGTTCAGTTTTTAATTAATTTATTTATTTTCCAAGTAAAATTTTTTTTATGGTTTAATTTTAGTTTTAGTTAATCTCATTCGCGCTAGCTCATTCACGCTTACTTGTCACGATTGTTCATGAGATGTGCAAGAATGATGTTTGATGCCATTATCATTACACAAACTTTACAACTTTTATATTTTGGCATACATACAGTATTATACAGTATACACTCTAAAAAATGCTGGGTTGTTTCAACCCAATGTTGGGTCAAATATGGACTAACCCAACTGTTGGGTTAAATTTTGGTTAAATTTTTAAATGAGCTTTTTAACCCAACAGTTGGGTTAGTCCATATTTGACCCAACATTGGGTTGAAACAACCCAGCATTTTTTAGAGTGTAGCTTCAGAAGACCTGGAGTATAGTGCTCAACTTTATTCATTTGTTTGTATTTTATTTTATATTTATTTATTCATTTTTACCGTGTATGTAACCATTTAATTTCATTGTATGGGAAAAAAGCAGCTTGGACATTCCCCCTAACATCTATTTTTGTGTTCCACATTAGAATCAAAATAATATGGGTTTGGAACATTTTAATGATTATATAATTTACAATGTGGGATGAAATAACCCATTTGAACGGTTATAAAATAATTTTCCATTAAACTTATTATTTTAGTGGGTAAAAAATAAAAGTAGTTTTATAATACAAATAACAAAATAACTGCTTATACTGATTTTTGTAGTGGCTTAACCTAATAATCATGTGTGATTTATTTATATACAAAATATTAAAAGAGTAGGATATCTGGTGTTTATGTCTAATAAATGTAAACTGGCCTTTGGTTTCAGGCTGGACAGACTAGAATCATATAGCAATGATTAATATGATTAAGAATCTCATTACTCAAAATTCATTACATGGCTTGAAGCTGTTCTAAACCATTCAAATACAGTAGAACCACTACCAGCTGATTTATACTTTATATTTACCCACACATTCTTCATTAAAACAATGAAACTACTTAATCACAAATGTGTCACAGTTTATTGTTTTTGAACATGTTTCCCATATAAGATCGTATTTAAAATGAAATATGTAACGAATGTAGAAGCTCCTCTGTGACATGCATCCATGCATCCCAGCCACCGCACTAGCACGGGTCTAATACATATGAGACATCAAATTCACAAGCAAGTCGATGAAAGAAACGATCACTCACTCATCGTGGCCTTTGCAGATGAAGAGCAACAGCCTCCAGGCTTGTACGGCGGACAGGATGAGCGACGCGATGCCGACGGCGGTGATGAAGCTGCAGGAGGACTGTGGTCCCCATTCCTCAATGATGAAGCGCTGCTTAGACACCGTGATGTTCTCATTCTGCCACATCCCACGCGTAAATAGCAGACATTTGCCGCGAAAATCCTCCGTGTTCTCCGACAGAGGTACTATAGCTATAAAGCCAAAGGCGAAGGCTAAAAAATAAAGGATGCATTGCGCGAATATGAAATTATCCATAGGCATTTTGCCAGAGCTGTGCTGTCGGTGCGGCTCGAGCTCTCGCGCTGTAGCTGGCTGCGCACTCGGACTTTGCAGCAGAGTCGAGCAGAGCAGCGAAATACAGCTCAATGCATTCATCCGAGGGAAAAAGGTATTTTAACCCAACAGTTGGGTTAGTCCATATTTGACCCAACATTGGGTTGAAACAACCCAGCATTTTTTAGAGTGTAGCTTCAGAAGACCTGGAGTATAGTGCTCAACTTTATTCATTTGTTTGTATTTTATTTTATATTTATTTATTCATTTTTACCGTGTATGTAACCATTTAATTTCATTGTATGGGAAAAAAGCAGCTTGGACATTCCCCCTAACATCTATTTTTGTGTTCCACATTAGAATCAAAATAATATGGGTTTGGAACATTTTAATGATTATATAATTTACAATGTGGGATGAAATAACCCATTTGAACGGTTATAAAATAATTTTCCATTAAACTTATTATTTTAGTGGGTAAAAAATAAAAGTAGTTTTATAATACAAATAACAAAATAACTGCTTATACTGATTTTTGTAGTGGCTTAACCTAATAATCATGTGTGATTTATTTATATACAAAATATTAAAAGAGTAGGATATCTGGTGTTTATGTCTAATAAATGTAAACTGGCCTTTGGTTTCAGGCTGGACAGACTAGAATCATATAGCAATGATTAATATGATTAAGAATCTCATTACTCAAAATTCATTACATGGCTTGAAGCTGTTCTAAACCATTCAAATACAGTAGAACCACTACCAGCTGATTTATACTTTATATTTACCTACACATTCTTCATTAAAACAATGAAACTACTTAATCACAAATGTGTCACAGTTTATTGTTTTTGAACATGTTTCCCATATAAGATCGTATTTAAAATGAAATATGTAACGAATGTAGAAGCTCCTCTGTGACATGCATCCATGCATCCCAGCCACCGCACTAGCACGGGTCTAATACATATGAGACATCAAATTCACAAGCAAGTCGATGAAAGAAACGATCACTCACTCATCGTGGCCTTTGCAGATGAAGAGCAACAGCCTCCAGGCTTGTACGGCGGACAGGATGAGCGACGCGATGCCGACGGCGGTGATGAAGCTGCAGGAGGACTGTGGTCCCCATTCCTCAATGATGAAGCGCTGCTTAGACACCGTGATGTTCTCATTCTGCCACATCCCACGCGTAAATAGCAGACATTTGCCGCGAAAATCCTCCGTGTTCTCCGACAGAGGTACTATAGCTATAAAGCCAAAGGCGAAGGCTAAAAAATAAAGGATGCATTGCGCGAATATGAAATTATCCATAGGCATTTTGCCAGAGCTGTGCTGTCGGTGCGGCTCGAGCTCTCGCGCTGTAGCTGCGCACTCGGACTTTGCAGCAGAGTCGAGCAGAGCAGCGAAATACAGCTCAATGCATTCATCCGAGGGAAAAAGGTATCGACGACACTTCTTTGTTTTAGTTTTATGGAGGGCTAATCCATAGAAATGCGCAAAAGCGGGTAACACTTTTAATACAGTTCATTAGCAAACATTAAAAGATCAGTGCAATCTGATATGAGTAGGGGAGAATATTTAGTCAAGTCTATTTTATTTGCGTAGGGCTTTTAGGCCTACTGTTGTTTTACAGCTTTGCAGTAGTGTTTAATAATAAAAAATGAATAAAATAATACATTGTTTAATACACTGAGTAATAAAATTGACTTATTTTTCAATAACAATAAAATACTATGCCAAAAATAAATAAATAAATGAGTATAAAAAAAGCACAATCTACAGACCAACTAACATACCAAAATGCAAGCTATGCATTCTCCATAGATCTGTTTGTTAGTGCAGTTCTGAAGCAGATGTTCCTTTTGACATGACAAACTCTGCTAATGGTACACTTCTTGCTTCTATATTCATCAAACATACTAAATACTTATTCATAATCAGCTTTAATATTGCTATACATATCAATTGTCAAAAGGTCAGTGTCAGCTGAAAGTACCGAAATGTGATGGATGCCTGATAACACTTCCATTCACATCCATTGAAAGTCCATCCACCGTTGTTCTCTCACATCAAAATCTACCAACATATTTGTTTAGAGCTGTTTTCACTTTTAAACAGTGCTTGATCTGTGCATATTTCTCTCTTGATTCAGATTAGACGACCTTTTCACAACGGAGGAAGTAATATTATGGTTTGAGGACTTTAGCCAAAAGCAACATGTTTGAAGTTAAAAACACCTTAATGATGGATTTGTGTCTTACAAATATGCAGGTTTTCAATTTACAAGACGTTTATTGATGGACTGGAGTTGTGTGGATTACTTGTGGATTATTGTTTTGTTTTTATCAGCTGTTTGGAATCTCATTCTGACAGCACCCATTCACTGCAGAGGATCCATTGGTCAGCAAGTGATATAGTCTGGTGAAGCTCAGGCACTTCAACTTATTAATTATAACTTTTAATTTATCAGTGACAAGAAACGTCTCGGTTACTTGTGTAACCCTCGTTCCCTGAAGGGGGGAACGGAGACGTTATGTCAGTCGTGACTGACGAATTGGGATCTCGCCCGAGAGCCCAATCACCTTCGAGTGTAAACTAAACAAGCCAATGACAGTTGGCATGGGTGTTTCGCCACGCGTACCCCGCCCCGCAGGGTATAAAAGGAGCGCGCGTGCAAACGCACATCAGTTTTTCGCTGAGGAGCCGAGACTACATGCCCCGGCCGTACAGCGGTGGTACAGCAACTGTGGCGACGGGACGTAATGTCTCCATTCCCTCCTTCAGGGAACGAGGGTTACACAAGTAACCGAGACGTTCCCTTTCAGTCAGTCACGTTCTACGTTACGTCAGTCGTGACTGATGAATTGGGATCCGTATGGAAAACACCACTATTGCTGACCCCCTCCAGTGCCCTGCGGAAGCCGGCAAGTCCCCCCACACCAGCTGGGGCGGAAGATAGGACAGCGGCTAGGTAGAGGTGTCCGCCACTGCTGTTCCATACAGTGGTACATTGGATAACAGAGCCTGGCATCTGGTGCTCTGCCACGCCTGACCGCCGAGGGTGCGGGAGGAACTCCACCAGGGTTCGCCATGGGGAACTGAATTGAGGAGCAAAAAAGAGCACGTATACGGTCCGTAGAGGGGAATGGCGCAGCAAGCGTGATCGACACCGAGCAGGTCCGGTGTTACTGCCTACCTGAGGCGAGTGCACGAGAGGACACGGGCTCTACACAGAGATTATAGAATCTCGCAAACATGTTAGGCGTCGCCCAGCCGGCAGCTCTACAGATATCTGCTATCGAGGCGCCCCGCGCCAATGCCCAAGAAGATGCCACTCCTCTCGTAGAGTGAGCTCTCACTCCGAGGGGGCAAGGTAACCGTTGGGCCTGGTAAGCTAAGACTATAGCCTCCACTAACCAGTGGGCAAGTCTTTGTTTGGAGACAGCCTTTCCCTTCTGGTCTGAGGTCCTGAAGCTCCGTGTACGGTCCACGTAAATGCGCAGAGTGCGAACGGGACAGAGCAGAGCGATGGCTGGGTCTGCCTCCTCCCGGGGGAGCGCTTGCGAGTTCACCACCTGATCTCTAAAAGGCGTGGTGGGAACTTTGGGCACATATCCAGGCTGGGGTCTCAAGACAATGTGAGAGTTACACGTACCGAATTCTAGGCACGAATCGTCGACCGAAAATGCCTGCAGGTCCCCTACCCTCTTGACCGAGGCCAAAGCAGTGAGGAGCACTGTCTTCAACGACAGAAACTTAAGCTCTACTGACTGCAGAGGCTCGAAGGGCTCCTCCTTCAAGGCCGTTAGGACCGAGGGGAGATCCCAAGAGGATAACAGGTGAGGGCGCGGAGGATTTAACCTCCTTGAGCCTCTGAGAAACCTGATGACCAAGTCGTGCTTCCCCAAAGACTTACCGTCTACTGCCTCGTGATGTGCAGCAATGGCAGCAACATAAACCTTAAGGGTGGAGGGAGATAGCCTTCACTCCAACCCATCCTGCAGGAAAGAAAGCACGACTCCGATCGGGCATCTACAGGGGTCTTCCCGGCGGGAAGAGCACCAATCGACGAACAGGTTCCACTTCAGCCTGTAAGCGTGTCTGGTAGACAGGGCTCTAGCTGAAGTGATGGTGTTTACTACAGCTGGAGGTAGCCCACCTAGAACCTCCACATCCACAAGTGGAGATTCCACAAGTCTGGACACGGGTGCCAGAGGGTGCCCCCTCTCTGAGAAAGAAGATCCCTCCTCAGAGGAATTTGCCAAGGAGGGGCCATCGCGAGGAGCATCAGTTCGGGGAACCAAGTCCGACTGGGCCAGTATGGCGCTACCAGGAGAACCTGCTTCTCGTCCTCCCTGACCTTGCACAGTGTCTGTGCGAGAAGGCTCACTGGGGGAAACGCATATTTGCGTAGGCCCCGTGGCCAGCTGCACGCCAGTGCGTCCGTGCCGAGGGTCCCCTCGGCCAGGGAGTAAAACAACTGGCAATGGGACGTGTCTGGGGAGGCAAACAGGTCTACCTGAGTGTCCCCAAAGGGCCTCCAATTCAGCTGGACTGTCTCGGGGTGGATTCGACGTGTAGCAGCGATTTGACGCGGCACAGAGCCAGCCATACTGCTTGCAACTCGAGGCAATTGATATGCCACTGCAGTCGTGGGGCCCGGCCGGAGCCCCGTAGCTGCATTCCCATTGCGCATGGCATCCCAGCCCCTGGCATAGGCATCTGTTGACACAACAACATGCCTGGATACTTGCCCAAGGGACACCCCTGTCCGAAGAAAGGCAAGATCTGCCCACGGGCTGAAGGTCTGACGGCAGAACGGTGTGACAGAAACACAGTAAGTGCCGTGCCATGCCCATCTAGGGACCCGGTCGTGAAGCCAAGTCTCATATGAAGCAACCCGAGCGGCGTGACAGCGGCTGCGGATGCCATATGCCCCAGGAGCCTCTGAAACTGTTTCAGTGGAACCGCTGTCTTGCACTGGAAGGACCCCAGGCAGTTCAGTATCGACTGTGCACGTTCTACTGAGAGACGTGCCGAGAGGTTGACCGAGTCCGGCTCCATGCCGAGAAAAGTGATCCTCTTACCTGGCTCCACGGCTGGGCAGGGGGCTCGTGAGGAGGCATAGCATCCTTGAACTGAACCCTGCTGCCCATTGGTGAAGGAAGAGGGGGACAGCCGTGACTTTCGTCGCCCTAAGCGCGAGGTCCGTCGCCGTGCACAGTTCCTGCAGCACACCTGGGTCAGCAACACCCTTGTGCAACTGCTTCAACGCTTTGGCCTGGTGGACTTGCAGGAGGGCCATGGCGTGCAGGGTGGAAGCGGCCTGTCCAGCAGCACTGTAAGCCTTAGCGGACGAGAACTTACAGGCCCTGGACGGAAGGAGTGGACTACCTGTCCGAGGACCCAGCACACTCGTCCGGAAACACCAGGTGGTGCGCCATGCTTGAGGAATGAGGAATGAGAGGCCGGCGGAGACGTACTCGACGGGGAAGCTCTCACCGTAACCCTCAGATCTCCCTGACCATGAACCGAAGTAGCCCTCCGAGAACCGGAAAAGCTAGAGCGGGGCATGGCAAGGGGGATTCCAGGCACGAGAGGCAGCGATCATGACCATCAGATGGAGGCAGGATACGACCGCATCCAGAAATGCACGAGCAGGAAGCCATCTTTAAAAAACCGCCCGTCGCTCATGGAGCTCTTTTAGATATTTGCTCTTTTAGGAAA